ATAGATATATATAGATATAGATAGATATATATATATATTAGATTGGGTGCACAATGACAAGCTGGAAAGTACCTTAATTCTGGGACCAAACGTTGCGGCATAGAAGAGATATCCATCCACTGGTTCTCTTTCGCTCCAGTTGGCGTAGTTGGAAATAAGACCTCCAGCGCCCCTGTGGATTATAGAAGGTGCCGTAAACAGTCTTATAAATGTCGTAAATATGCCAGCAGAGGACTGGCCGGAAAGCGAACACCGGGAAACTGGAACATCAGCCTCCCCGTTCGTGCACAACCTCCCCAACATACATTCAATTGTTACAAATACACAAATGTTGCACATATTTCCCCAATGTCATCAACACGCAATGGAAGGACTTACCAGGAAGAAATTAAAAACACAAATTCATTAAAATTCTTGCTTTTGCGCGGCCATCCCAGCGTATACACATCAAAAATATAAGCAATGTGGCAAACAGACCTATAAAGTCGTAAATACGCTCGCTGATCACCGCAGCGTACATACATCAAACATATATCGAAATGTCGGAAATGAACACCTAAAGTAGTAAACGCACTAGAAGGGACATACCAGTAGGATAGTAAGAATAAAAGCACGTCGGCTTCCTTGCCGCCCACCACAGCGTACGTACTTCAAGCGTATATTGAAATGTCGCAAATGAACATATAATGTCGCGAATACACACCAGTAGGATAGCAGGAATATAGGCACGTCAGCCTCCGCGTCGGTACGCGACCATCTTATCAAGCGAACGTTGGTGCGGATATCTCTGAGCATTTGGTTCAGACTCGGTGTGTCTCCTTCCTTGCCCCCAGACCGCCCACATCCTCTGTAGTCTGTGTAAGATATGTCGCAAATTAAACGGTGGTTGTTTCAAATCGAATCTTGTATACTGCATTGGTATTGCCAATGGCGTATTCGTCTGTCTGTAGCACGTGTTGTAAAGTAGTCGGTGTCAAACCCTAAAACCCTAAAGCCAATCACCCGGTGGGCAGGGTTTGAACTGACACCTTCGACACATGCACGATGCTCTGTCGCTAGAAGGACCCCGACTCACTAGCGGAAAGGAAGAAGTCCTCAGAGCGACAGATAACACTGTAAGTGTGTGCTTGATGCGTGAAATCATCTGATGTCATAGGAGAATTACTAATCTAGGTAAACACATAGGAGGCTACTCATAGGATGATTACTAATCTAGGTATACACATAGGAGGCTACGTCTAATGATGTCATAGGATGATTACTAATCTAGGTATACACATAGGAGGCTACGTCTAATGATGTCATAGGATGATTACTAATCTAGGTATACACATAGGAGGCTACGTCTAATGCCTGTCAATAAGTCATCCGTGTCGTAGGTAGGTTACTAGTTCTATTTCCGAACTGGATTGAAAACCCCGATTTTTCTCTCATATTCACCCGGTTCTTCTCCCAACTTTCTCGAACCCTCCGGAAGAATAAAAAAGAAGGAAAACTTGCGAAGATTGGTAATAAGTATTATATACCCAAACAATTACGTAAAGTACATGATTCGTATAAAAATCTTTGGATCAAACTATTGTATCAAATTTAATAAGTGCATAATTTGTAACCTACATTACCCCGTACCATTACCCCTATTTATTTTACATTCTGGGTTGCCAATATTGAAGACCATATAGTGGTACTCCGTTGCCATAACAACGGTCGATTCACAACAACTACCAAACAACATTGAAGTTCATACAGTGGTACTCCGTTGCCATCACAATGGTTCATTCACAATGACTACCTACCAACATTGAAGACCTTACAGTGGTACTCCGTTGCCATACCAACGGTCTATTCCCAATGACTACCTATTAACATTGAAGACGATGCAGTCGTTCTCCGTTGCCATAACAACGGAATATTTACAATGACTACCTACCAATGTTGAAGACCATGCAGTGGTACTCGGTTGCCAGCTTCTCCAACATGTAGTCGTGGGCCTCAGTGGGGAACACAAGCCCCGAGTAATGCATGATAATTCCATTCTAAAAATAGAACGATGCAAAGGTGTAAGCGATAAGTGCAACACAAACCTCGAGTAATGTAAGAATATTTACGTGACCCGGAGTAATGCAAGCATACTCCATTCTAAAAATAGAACGAAGCAAGGGTGCGAGAGATCAGTGAAGAATATGCCAGGTGTAAACATTTGATGAGAATACGAGCACTAACTACGTCATCACTCAAAGAGCTCAAACACAAGCAGAAACACCACACAACAACAAGAACAACAACAACCCATCCACGTGCCTTCCCATCTCATCGTATGTTTGTTTGTATTGTGCATGTGTGCATGTATTTCATCGGATGTATGTATATATTGTGCATGTGTACATGTATTTCATCGTATGTATGTATATATTGTGCAAGTGTGCATGTATTTCATCGTGTGCATGTATGTACACACACCAATTGAACCTCGCGCTTCGCAAGCGGATAGAAGATCCGTGCGGCTATGGGTGTGCCGTCGGTGGCGTCTATGTACTTGTACTGTCGTTTAAACACGCGCTGCATGGTCTTCACATAGTCCTCTGTTTTGCACTCCTCCGCCATATGCAGGAATGGGCTGTGGGTGTGGTACGTGAGGTAGTGGGGGGGGGGGGTGTTTGTATGCGTATTCGTATGAGGATGGGTGTGTGAGCATGTTAATACGGGACAAGTCTGTGCACATTTGCATTGGGGTATCTGTTCAGTGCGGATGAGCATGAGGGCAAATCCACGTACGTATGAGACAGTGACAGGGACAGGCACACAGACACACAAGTAACTGAAGGTAAATACACATACACAGTACAGATGGAAAGAAACGCGATTCATTGTAGGAGTGTTTGGGAATATATGTACGAGGCTAGCTCTATGAGTATAGAAGAGTCATGGGCGGATGCGCAAGTACAGTGATGGTGCAGCTACACCCATAGGATTAAGAGTATATGCAAGGGGGGAGAGAATACACATGTGGTGAATGGGATATAGTACGGCACCATCAAGTACAAAACAAACTCTATCACTTGATGATAAATAAGCCTGCTTACCGTCTCGGCGCTGTAAGTTCATACAGAACGCTTGCTTCTACGTATATAAATCAATATATA